CAGTGATATAGCAGGCAGAACTAACCAGTCTATTCTCATGTAGCATGGCCTTGTGCATAGTTTTAATCATAAAATGAAACTGGAGTTGCAGAAGCTTGTTTGTAGGAGGGAGAATAAGACATTATCTCTTGTCACGGGGAGCGCACTTGCTTTAAACACCTGCTTTTACAAAGCTAACACATTTTATTTTTGTATCAAAGGATAATATAAACATGTGAGTATACTATAAGAGCCCAAGTACAGGTGAAATAGCTTGCGGGACTTCACTAGAGACCATTCTTTAGAGCCATGTCAAGCATTTTCGTCCGCCTCTCACTGTCACAGAGACTGTACCTGAATAATTACATTGATTTGAATGGGATCACGTGATCTGTTTCCAAACCCGGTTACGTAGTCTATAATATCTATGATATAACCCGACCTTCTGTGCTAGAGATGATGAGTGAGGAAAAATCTATCCATGGCCTTTTTGGTGGACTTATTGGTGCAGGGGGTGGTGCAGCTGTAGGAGCCATTATTGGATCAGTTGTTCCAGGATTTGGTACTGCAATTGGTGCTATTGTAGGAGGTGCTATTGGTGGAGTTGCTGGTGGTGCAAGTTCTGGAGGAGTGATTCTTGGTGCAGTTGACAATAATCAGAATGACAACTGACATATATTGGGCAAGCCATTTGTGTGTATTTAACTTTATACAACCATTTTAAAATGTCAGCTATCATACTTTGTTTTTGTCATGTTTCATTAATTTTTAAAGCCTACCTAAATACCTTAGGTGTTTTAATTTTTAACCAGAGTATACAATGTAGAAAATATTTAGGCTCTGCATGGCAGTATGCATGCTATACATTCATCTTCTCAGGAGTCACAAGCCAAATGCGTATAAAATACCGTAGGTTTGGATATTTTGCGATAATAAACAAATTCAATTAAAAAGCATGGAAACCGAGATGCTATTTTCACTAAACCGTAAACTAAACACTAAACAGTGGTCTTGTTGTCATAGCACTGCTCTAATGGTTTCCATGTTTTGTAATTGAATTTTTTATCACTGCAAATAATTGCAGCAGCAAATATAGGTTATACATCACAAGGTCTCTTTGCTTCTTTATATGTTCTTAAAAGAAACGGGAAAGTGTCTTCTTCACTTGTGCCATGTGTGTACAGTAAAACACGCCCAGAACATGCCTTTCCAGTACTATCTACCCATTAAGAAGTCTATCACATATGGCCCAATGCTCTATTTCTCACTTTTCTATGTTCTTTGCTGCTTTCTCTGGTAAAATTCCGTAAAAAATTACTAAAGACACTACACTGTAGCTATGCTTCGAGGAAAATAATACAAAAACCTGTTTGCTCCTGGACTTTCCATGAGGTAAATAACTAAGAAAACCTGTTTGACTACTTAGTTATTTACCTCCCAGGCTGTCCATGAGAGAAATAAGCGATAATATGTACCTCGTATGATGCAATCTGATTGGTCAATTTCAAACAGGGCAGACATTGCACGTGTATACACGATACACGAGTATTTAGACGAAAAACAGGTCTTCTAGTACATACAAGTA